TGACAACAGAGTTCATGAAATAAAAATATTATCCAATTCTAATGCAGAAACAACATTTGATTCCCACAACAACCTCATCACAGGAAATGAGAGCAAAACATGCTCCAAAGCTATAGGGAGCCTTTTTCTCAGATACACGTACTCCAGGCCCTGCTCAGGCTGTTAGCAGCCTGCAGGGAGCATCGCACCACAACATTGTGCTGAGTGGGCTGTGCCCTGCTGCTGGAGGCCTCAGTGCTTCTGAAAGGGCACTGGTGGTGGTGGCAAAGCAGGGGATACAAGGAAAGGTCCCAGTGTGTGCCCCACCTCACTGAAGTGCAGAAAGGACCAACTGGGGAAGCAGTAATGAATGGTTGACATCCATGTGTGCATGCCAGGCACTACCTCTGCTGGGAGCTGGAGCTGCTGCCTTTTCACTGCATGAACTGAACAAAGCAGATCAATGTTAGCCCAGACCTGGCACTGACGTGTCACTCTGTGTAAATGCTCCCTGAAGCCTCAATTAGCATTTATGTTTTCATCTGAGTGCTGGAGTTGATGTGCAATGTTAAGTACCACAGTGTTCTACCAAAGGAGCACCTTCACAGCAGCAGAGGTCAAACAATCCCTTTCCTACCTCACAGAGAGCATTTATGAGGTTTAATTAATTGTTGCTGAAAGCAAGTGTAGAAAAGGGACCTTTAATGTTATCATTGCAACTGTCAGTGTCACAACATTAATTAAAATAAAACAATTGAAATGTCAGATCTCAAGTAAAAATATGTTTAAATATTTCTTCTAAAGTTTACAGGAAGACACAACTCCCCTGGCCATGCAAAGTGAGATGTGCACCTTTCATTGATGCCTTGTGCTGCTCCAGGCCATGCCATCACCCCCAGCCCCCAGCAAGCCCTGGCAGAGCCGCAGCTGTACACAGTATCACAGAGGTATTGTGGGCCCTTCCCCTGCACAGCTCTGACCTGGGGAGAAGGCTGTGGCTGCTGATGGTCTCACGGTGCACAGCAGCATTCTGCTCCCAGCACTGCCCTCAGTGACAGTTGCTGGCTCATAGCATTCCTTACAGATGCAGGACCATGAGATGGTAAAATAAAAGTATTAATAATGGCTGTGAAAAATTAATTTTTATTATCTGTTCACTGTGTGCAAAACACTATTCTGCATAGTGATAACTCATTGTAGTTGACAGTGCACATCAACAAACAAGTGTCAGAGGTATACACTCAATGAGGAAGGCAGTGGTGGCTGGTGCACAGCACGTGCAAACATCAAGTGACACCAGCTGTGCTCTGGGATAGAGGAGTACCTCACAACTACTCATGTACAAGTAATAGAAATGAGACAGGAAGAATTTACCAACAAACCAAATTATTATGAATGAGGATGAAGAAACAAAGCAGAATTCATGTATCCAATACACAATTTCCAGAGCAATTAAGAAGGGTTACAGAGGTGGCTGAGAAGGATCCATATTTTTTCAAACACTTCCATCTTTAAAATTACTAAAATTTAATGATGAATAACAGAATCTCACAAATCTTTTGGGGTAAAATGCTCCACATTTATTTACATATGAAATGTGTTTAATACAGTCGTAATGGGCATAGTGTATAGTAACATCTGACAGCAGCAAGACTTTAAGGAAATGAACAATTACTACTGTATATCATACAGCTATCTATATATAAACTATTTGTTTTTAAAAAAAAAGTACAAAACAGTTTTGTAGGGATACATACAAGGTATAAAATGCAAAAACAAACAAAAAATATAACTCTTACAGAGAACCATATATGAAAGGGACAGTATGGTACCTTTCTGTCCTTGGTGAAAGCATAACTAGTGATGTTAGATGTACTTTGAAATGGCTGAACTAGCTCTGTAAGGTCTGTGCTAATGGTGAAGCCCCAGTTATACTCACGTAGGCTGGTGTGTGGTGTGTTTGCTTCTTGATGGCTGTGGTTGAATGTAATGCTGAGCACCAGAACATTTGGCATTAGCTTACAGAGATGGGAAACACCAACCTCGGCAGCAAGTGTTAACTATTTTCTTTCGATAACCAGAAATATAGGAAAATACATAATGCTGTGTAATCACTTCTATACGTTTAATAAATTACATGAGAAAAAAATCATAATTATATGCCTATTCCTCTAATTACATCTTACTTGTTTAATCCAGAGCAGCCCAGCCCTTTTACAACTATTTGAGCTTTGACCACAAGTCCCCGATGGCTAAACTTACTTCATTTATATATATATATATATATATATATATATATATATATTTGTGCAATTACACTTTTCAAAAGTACTTTATTACTCTGGGGGACCTGCACCTGTTTTGGTGTTGACACCTAAATCAACACTGCACTTTACATGTGCAGTGGTATATTTTTTTTTAGAGAGAAAGTTTAAAAGCTTCCTAACACATTTAGAAGCATGAGTCCTGTGAAATTTAACATTTCCCCTTGGCTTGCTTTCTTCCTTTTTCCCCTCCAAGCACTGCCTTCTGCTAAACTTTCTTTCAGAAACATTCATATAAGAAACAGTTTAAGAGAACCCAAGAAACTGTCCCAGCATTAAGAACTCTGTTTTAGAAAAACATACTACAAAAAACAGAAACAAAACAAAAAACATTTTTTTCCACTAGATACCAATACAAGCACATAACAAAGAGTATAAAAGTTATTTGCTTAAATATATACAAAATCTTTTCAACTCAAATACTGCTTCGGTGGTTTTGAGGGTATAAACAATGAGGCGAAGGGGGACATTATTATGCAGAATTTATTGCAACAGCCTGAACAGTACTGTTAACACTATTATACCTTGAACTTTCTTTAACAAAAATGTCATTATTATTCCAATGTGGAGAGAGATTTCTATATCCCAATGATCTGATTACTTTTCAGCTGAGCTCATTCTTTTTGACTTAATGAAGGCCATGCCATGTGTTCTCATGTGAGTATTTAAGGCCGCTTCAGTTTCAAAAGTCTTTGCACACACTTTGCATCTTCTGTCCAACACCGTGTTGTCAGACAATTCATCCTCATGGTTGGGTTTATTCTCTTGCTGATTATCCTCCCTGGATCCATTCTGCTTTGATACTGGCTGTGGCTCCTTCAGCTTGTGTACAATGAAGAGATGCCTGGAGAGAGACACGTGAGATGTGTAGCAGAGTCCACACTCCCTGCACTGGTACGAAGAGCCATCAGATTTATGCTGAGGAATATGTTCGTGAAACTGGAGAAGATTTTCTGTTGTAAAGCCACAGACAGCACACTTATGAACCTTAAAAACATTTATTTTTAGCTTCTTCAGTGGTTGTGTGATTGTACCTCGTGGAGGTCTGAATTCCAGTACAGGTTCTTCCAGTTTACGCTTTGGACTAGGAACCTAAAAAAAGTCATAAATAGTATTTTTGTAAGCATAAATATGTAGTGACTGCAATGACCATGACTGAAAACTACAAAAACTTTCCCCTGGTAGGTTCCAGTGCAACTTCGATAAATACAGTATTTGAAATAATACAAGCAAATATACGTTGTACATGTTAGAAAAATAAAGTTTTTTCTTAATATAAATTTCATACAAATTTTATTTTGTCAGCTCTGATAAAGCAACAGTACCTAATACACTGTATAAACAAGATTAAGTATTTCCTAGTGTAACTGCAAGTACACATTAATGTGACTGCAGTTGTGTGCAGAATGCAGAATATGTCTAGGAACTTTTCAGCAGTAACTTCTGAAACTTCAACTACACTTAACATTTCATAAATGAAATTTGACTTGATTATCTCCTGATTATTAGTAGCCAAATTAATATATTGTCAGAGTGAAGCACAAGTCTTTGGACAGTGCTGTCTTCTTATTTTTGCTTTCCTCCTAACACTCATCATCGTACTGAAAGCAGTTTCACTGTAACATTTATGTCAAATAAACTCAAAGCTGGGTATTTGGGATAAGCTCACAATTCTTCTATGCGACCTGTAGGTTTTCTACAGCTATGAGAGGACTTAGTTGCAGAGGTTTTGAAAAGTGCTCATAAACCAAACAGGTAAGTTATATTCTTTATCATTTAGTGAATAAAATAAACTGTAAGTCTTTCAAAAAATAAAAAACAGAATTTGTTGCAGGAACCTTTGAGACGTTCTGGAGCAGAATTTTATGGTATCAAGATATCTGCATCTATTTAAAGATCCTGAACGTATATCCATAAAAATTTCATTCAGTGACCGAATTAATCTTCTAAGTGATTACCTTTGCATCTTCTTTTACTTCCCTTTCTTCCATACTAGTCAATTCAGTCATTTCTTTTACATCAGGGTCTTTAATGCCATGCATTAATTGAATATGTTTTTCCAACATCAATCGCTTGGTAAAAGAACGTCTTGAATCTGGGCAGTGCCTATATAAACACAGAGCAGGCGTGTAGAGGTTCAAATGTCATGCTTAAAAATAGATGTATTATTCTGGAGAATGTGAACAGAACTAGTAAATAATCCCAGACAAATCCAATCTATTAAAGATAATATTAAAGACAATGCTTTTCCAATCAATTGCACAAATATTATAAGAAAGGGAGAACAATTAGAAAACAAAACCGCAAATGTTTGAGCAGCTTATATTCACAGTAAATGAGAGAAAAGTTCTCTGAAGATAATATTCAAAACAGTACAAAATGCGGGTCAGAAAAAAAACAGGAGCATCTGAGTTTGTTTCTTACACTTCTCTTAATGTAACTAAACTGTACATTCAATTAAACACTTTATGTTCTCCCTAAACTAAATTTCAGCAAGAAAACAATCGCTTTCCATTAAGGATGAGTGCTAGCTCCAAAGGAGTCTTAATTCTGCATTCAAGTCCAAATTCTTTTATCTCCTTGGAACTAATGTACGGGACTGAGGTTAGGTTGGGTTAGTCTAACCTTAGTGCTTGGAAAAGTTATGAAGAGAAATTCAATTAACAATGTTTGTTGTTGGTTTATACTCTGCCCCTAGTATCTTTAAAAAATAAACAGAAGTAGAACTTACAAGCATGTATAAACCTTCCGAATGCCTTTGTGCTTGATACGATTGTGACGACATAAACTATGGGATGAACTGAAAGATTTGTCACATTGTCGACAAGGGTGTTTCTTCGTTTGCTTTAAAAAAAGAAAAACACATTAATTAAAAGAAAGTTAAGCAAAAGTAGTGCATGTGTCAAACCCTTTAATAATAGGAAAGAAACATCCTTAACAGTATCTGGCACTGTATATTCAAGCATGCACCTTTCCTACAGCAGCACTGTAGGAGGCAGAGGAAGTAGATCTTTTTCAAAGCAGTGTGGCCAGAACACACCTACCAAAGACTATAAACAGGTACCACAGACTGGATGAAATGAAGTTCTTCCATCAAAGAAGTAAGGAAGATCAGGGGCCTATTTCTAGATCGGTAAAGGCAACATGAACAGAGATGTGCTTTCACCATAAAGTCACCTTTCCCTTCCCATCACCAAATGACTTCTGCAGCTGCTGAGAGGATACCAGTCACCCACAAGATGAGGGGTGAAAGGCACTCTTTAAATAAGGACTAAAGCAAATAATCATGAATACTGATGTGCTAACAAGGCTCAGAAAAGTCACAAGGAAATGAGGGAAACAGTCTGATGCCAACTTGAGGGACATCTATTTGGGGAAATCTACGTGTTTTATTTGCTACATGGAAGGAGAAGGAAAAGGAAGGAAGGTAAAAAGTATGGAGTAGTCACCATCTATGCTGTTCCAGCTGAACACACTTATGGGAACTTTAGTATCTGAAGAAATAATGTATAAAACTATAGAACTATAAAAGCCCCAAGAACGAATGACATGGCCCCATGCTTTAAACTTACTAGCACATAACCAATCCTAGAACTCAGTCCAAATCGGCCTGTCTTATCAGTAGTTGCAGCAAGGAAACTGAAATATTCCTAATCAAATCTCCTACTTTATTCAACAATTAAGTAGATTTTTCAAGCTCCTATCTGTAATTTTCTACTGCTTTGGTACTAATTAGGAAATCAACATAACATATTGAAAATTAAATCCAAAGAATAATCAAACAAATCTCATTTAAGACTTTTCAACAATCCAGTCGGAGCCAGTACCCCACACTCAGCATTCTGCACCCTGCCAGAATCAGGGTGTCCAGGGTCTAAAGAAGAAATGGATTTTATTGGAATGCCCTGAAAGAAATTCTGATCACTTGCACCCAGATTTCAAGCATTCTACTCTGAGGAAGAATATTTCAAGCATTTTACTCTACTGGCCAGGTACAAGTGAAGGAATGGACAGTCTCGTATGATCAGTCCAGTTATCTAGAAGAAAAAATGACATTTCCAAGACTAATTTTTCCTGCTCTAGCAGAGAACAGAGCTTTCCTTCACAGTGTCAATAACACTATTTCCTGCAATACTTCACAGTAGGACAGACCTGACTGATGAGGAGGGTTGGAAGAGTGTGCCGACTTGGCATCATGGGAGCCCCCCCTGCCTGCCTAGCCCACTTCCCCAGCTCCCTCTAAGCAACAGGTTTCAGATGCTGGAAACTAAAGGGGAGGCGAATGGTGAGGCAACGGAGGATCTGCCTAGGAGGGCGCCTAAGGCGAGGTGGTCACCCCCGCGCCTTGAGACTGCCTCTGTCAGGAAAGAAAGAAAGGTGATCGTGGTAGGTGACTCCCTTCTCAGAGGAATGGAGGGCCCCATATGCAGACCGGATCCGAGCCATTAGGAAGTGTGCTGCCTTCCTGGGGCCCAGGTCAGGGACATAACCAGGAAACTCCTAAACCTGGTTAGGTCTACTGATTATTTTATATTACTCATAGTTCAGGTGGGCAGTGATTAAATTGCTCAGAGAAGCCTACAAGCAATGAAAAAAGATTTCAGGGGTTTTGAGCGTTTAGACCACGGAGTGGGAACTCAAGAGATATTCTGTTCAATACCTTCAGAGACAGGAAGGGACACGGAGTGGGCTTGGAAAGAACAAGCAATGAATAAATGGCTCAGAGGCTGGTATCGAGCCAGAAACTTTGGGTTCTTAGATCATGGGGCAGTTTACTCGACCCCTGGCCTATTGTCCGTCCATGGAACCCACCTATCTCAAAGGGGGCAACAAATCCGAGAGCAGGAGCTAGCAGGGCTTATCGAAAGAGCTTTAAATGAGCTACAATGGGGGAAGGGGACAAAACAGGCCTCGCAAGAGATGAGCCTAGGGGAATGATGCTTGAGCTGGGGGTGAGGCAGATGACTCGGCTGAAGTGCGTCTACACCAATGCATGCAGCATGGGCAACAAGTTGGAAGCGATTGTGCGTCAGGCTAACTATGACCTAGTTGCTATTACCGAAACATGGTGGGACCCCTCCCATGACTAGAGTGCTGTGATGGATGGCTACAAGCTCTTCAGAAGGGATAGACGAGGAAGGAAGGGTGGTGGTGTGGCCCTTAATATTAAAGAGTGTTTTGATGTTGAAGACCCTGGGGTTGGGAATTATAAAGTTGAGTGCCCATATAATCAATGAATGTACAGATGTTAAAATTATGAATTATGAAATTATTTGATGGCATTTCGTTCCTTCCGGTGATCCTGAAGGCTCAAAGACTCAAGGGGAGTAATACAGATGTTTCAGGGGTACCAGGAGGGGAAGGTCTGCTCTCCAGGGCAAGATATAGGCCGTAATTCTATCCTGGGTCAACACTTCCGCTTGTACTGGGGCATGCCACAGCTGCCTGTACCACACCTTCTGGCCAGATGTCTGCGGCTGCATAACTATATCAGGTACCAAAGGAGGTGTCCTGATCTGCCACAGGGACATGATGGGGGTCCCTTTAGCAATGAAGATCGGAGTGTTGACCACAATATCAGTAGGCCACGTATCTATTCCTGGAGGGACTAATGAGCCTCCCACCTTCAACAGTCTCCCCCAAGGTGCAAGTAGGCCACAGCACTTGGGTCCTACCTGCACCTTCCAAGGCCATTGTATTCTATGGGTGCCTGGATCTAAATTCTCAGGGGCAGGGAGCAGAAGATTATTTTCATTACCAATCTGGGGTCTTACCTGATTATCAGTTCCCGGAATTTGGATCCTAAACAGGGGGGCCCATGCTGTCTGCAACATTCTCAGGGCACTGGGTCTGCTGACTTGGGGTCTTTCATTCAGGTCCTGCAAGGTTTCATAGAGTCTTTCCATCCACCCCTGCAGGGACTGGGAGTCTGTCTTCAGGGCAGCCTTAAGAATACCATTATAACGTTCAATGAGGCCTGCCCCCATTGGACTATATGGCAGGTGGAATCGCCATCCGATGTTGTTTTCTTCTGCCCAGCACTGTATCGTTGCACCAGTAAAATGAGTCCCTTGGTCGCACTCGATGACTTGAGGTGTCCCGTAGGCAGACATCAGTTTAGTCAGTGACTTGATGGTATATGCCTGGTTTGCATTCGGTGCTGTATAGCCCTGTAGTAGCCCACTTGCAGTGTCGACGCAGGTCAGGGCATCTCTCGCCCCCTCAGACCGAGGAAGGGGCTCAATGTAATCAACCTGCCATCGCTGGAGAGGATTGTGTCCTCTAGCAAGATGGGCTGTTGTTTCAGGCAACGATCTCGGTCTCATCTTAGAGCAAGTGTCGCAATCCCGGCATGCCTGGATGATGTGAGGTAGTTGTATGGGCAGTCCCCATGCTTTAGCAGCTGCCCACATTGTCTTTTGTCCCGCATGCTGTAGCTTCTGATGTAACCAACGGGCGATGTTCTCAGATGGTGAATTCTCAATCCATCGAACTCGGGCCAGCATGTCGGCTTCATAATTTCCCGGTGACTGTAGGGGCTGATGACCAGAAACATGGGAGACACATACAGTCCTGTGTTTGACGGTATTCCATATGTCTAACCACATCTCTTTGCCCCAGATTGGTCGGGTGTGGATAGTCCATTCCTGGGTGGCCCACTGTGCAATCCAAAGAGTGAGTCCCTGGTACTACATCACTGGGTTCCTTGGTTATAACCATCCACATGGCTCGCAGTTCTGCCCATTGGCTGCTCTGATCATCTCCCTCATCAAACCAGATTGTCTCGGTGGAGGGATAGTATGCTATCGCTCTCCACTTGCTCGGGTTGCCCTTGCTGGACCCATCTGTGAACCAGGCATCTTCAGGGATAGGATATTTTCCCTCCTGAACGGGACTCTTCTCTGGTGGAGCGACCAGTGTTTCTTTTGGTGCATCACAATGATAGGTCACTGGGCCTAGGATCTTCTGAAGCTCTTCTTTCAAGGGGGATGAAGACAGACTGCTCCTTTGGCTGAGGTAAGCGACCCATCGTGCCACTGTTTGTGCTTGGGCCACCCCTGTCTTAGGAAGGTGGGTCAGATCTTTCATCAACCCCTGAATCAGCAGAGTGGTCTTAACTATAACTTCAGCCATTTGACTTATCGGCTCTACTGACTGTAATGCTGAATAGGCAGCCAATAACTGTTTTTCAATCATACTGTATCTTTCTTCTGCTCCATGCCAGACCTGAGACCAAAAATCAATGGGGGTCCGAACAGAACTCTGGTGTTGCCACAGGCCCCAACCAAAGCCATCTTGAGTAACGTGAACATCCAACTCAGCTGGGAGGGTAGGATCAAATATACCCAATGCCTGGGCCTGTTTAACTGCCAGTTTTGCCTGTTGGAAAGCGTCCTGTTCTGTTTTCCCCCAATCCCATAGCTGCCCCTTTTTCGTGAGTCTGTACAGTGGCCTTAGCAGCTGCGCTAGGTGAGGTATAAAGGAACACCAGTAACCCAATATACCTAGAATCTCTTACAGCTGCTTTGATGTTGTAGGGACTGGGAACACCTGAGCCTTATCTATGACAGCACTGGGTAGTACTCTGGTCTTTCCTGACCAAACCACCCCCAGGAATTTTACAGACAGGCCCAGACCTTGCACCTTTTGGGAATTTATAGCCCATCCCCTCTGTTGCAAATAGGCGGTTAATGAATCCGCTGCCTGTCCTACTGTCTCCAGTGAGTCGGATGTAAGCAGGTCATCAATATAATGATCTAAGTTAACATCATCAGGTTTCTTCCAATCAGCCAGGTCACGTGCCAGTAGATTATGACAATATGTTGGTGAATGTGCATACCCCTGTGGCAGGACCTGAAAGGTCCACTGCCTGCCTCCCCACGTAAACGCAAACTGATCTTGCGATTCCTCAGCAATTGGGATACTGAAGAACGCATTTGCTAAATATAGGACACAATGATAGGTTTTTATCTCCCTACTTAATGTGTCCATTAGAGAGGCAATATTGGGTACGGCCGCATGAATAGGTGGCGTGACCTTATTTAATTCTCTATAATCCACCATCATTCTCCAAGTGCCATCCAACTTACGCACTGGCCATATGAAGGAATTATATGGGCTGTGTGCAGGTCTTACAATGCCCACTTGTTCTAATTCCTGCACCGTTCTTTGTATTTCATCTTGCCCACCCAGGAGTCTATACTGCCTTACATTAGTAATCCAGCGCGGTTTCAGCAGACAAATAGGCCCATGTTTCACATGGCCTCTTAATATTGCCTGCACCACCTGGATACTGATCCATCTCTGTCCAAGTCTGAACTCTCCCACAGTTGTCTGGAGAGCCAGACCCCATAGAATATCTATGCCCAGGATGCATTCCTGGACTGGGGCAATAGACACCTTATACTCCTGGGGTGGGAGATGCCCAACCCCCAGTTTCATCCATGTTTGGGTGACAGGAATAGTCTGTCCCCCAAAACCACCAATCATCTCTCTGTCTCCATCAAATTTGGTTTCGATCTCTGTAGATAATTGATGTTTCTGCTCCCGTATCAACAAGTGCCATAACTCTCTGGATGTTTTTCCAGGACCAGAATATTGTCAACTCTACATAGGGCCTCCGGTCCCGTCTGGAGGCCCTAGGGGGACTAACATTCCTCATCACACCATTAACTGAGCCAAAGTTAAGTCTTTTGTTTCAGGTGGCTTGGGCATTGTAGCCCGAGACACCTGAGGGGGCTTCTTTTTTCTATTCGGAACAATGAAATCCTCTAGGTTCCACATCACCGTTGGTACTTCCTGTAACACTTACCCTTGGTTTCTTAGGGTAATTTTGGAATTTCTGATTGTCCTTCAGCTGTCTCCACAGCTGTTTCCACAGCTGAAGGAGGATGTGATTGGGCTAGTGGTCGATTTTCCCAAATTGGACCCCAGCCCAAATAAGGTCCTTAAACATTTGTTTTTGCGAGACCCTTATGGGCCCCAACTGAGGATTCCGCACAGGTGGCCTCTTGGTTTTAACTACTGGAAGCACCTCTGCTTCTTCTACTACTCAAATATTATGCCTAGTGAGCAGACGCTCTGTCTCCCCCAAATCAGCTACTAACTGGGCAGCCTGTTGAATCACAGTCTCCAAAGCCACCAGGGGGTTTAATATGGAAACTAAGGTCCCATATAGGTGAGAAGGGACCTGCTGTAAGATTAAATCTCACATACCTGCAAAAAACTTTACCATATCTGGGCTTTCAAATGAGTCCTCATATATCGCTTCTCTTATGCCCAGATCACAAACATAATTTTGAAGGTCCTCCATGGAGGACCATAATCCTTTGTTTAATGGAATATCTGATTTGTTCAGCCAAACCATGTGGCATGCTGCCATTAACCAGACTACTATCGAATGATTCTCATTGTTATACTGAACAGCAGCATATAGTCTCTGCCTGAGGGCAGGGTGCACCATCATAGTGGCCAGTTCTGATACTTCTGGCCCATTAACCACAACGCCTTCCGCCCCCGAATCTCACAATCTAAGTAACCACATGGGTACACTCTCTTTCAGCCTCTGCTAAAATCGCTGCACCATATCCATTAGTTCTGTTGTTGTGTACGAACTAGCCATTATGTGTAAATGTGTTCGGGCAAGGGGCCATTTATCAGGAGGCACCCCTGTTGATCTATCTTGTTCTTTCTTTGTTTTTTGGGTTATAATAGGATGGAGTTCCAAGGAATCTGTCATAAGTGGAACCTCTAAATCTGACTTAGAGTTTTTATTTTGCTGTTCAACCAGGTCCGTTACATCAGAGGTGCGGTTATTATCTACTGAAATATTGCAGACCTGACCTATCAGGGAATGTAAAGTTGGCCTTTTCCCCGTTAATACATTAAGTTCCTGTTTCAGTTTTTCAATGCGATCTTTTAATAGCTGATTTTCACTTTCTAAGGTGTCAGCTCTTACCTCAGCTTGATTTAAGGCATTTAACAGTGGCCATGCCACTGTAGAGGCAGCTAACCGCCTTTCTTTTGTAGTTAGGATGTTTTTGTCTAATCCTTGAAAGTATTCCATCACACGGAATGGGGAAGTATTCCCCATAGTACCCAGGGGACCCCTTTTATCAACTATGGTTGCTAATTGGCAATAAAGAGAACGCAGAAACCCTGGGATCTGTCAGGGGTTCATTTTATCTAAGGGGGTGATGTACTTCCCCTCCCTGCCCCATTTGTAGAAATTTCATAGCAAGGACATGATATAAATTTCAGAATATTTGGCCAGCCTGGCTTGCCAAGTGTATAATCAATGAAAGTTCAGAAGTTATAATTATGAAATACACCAGAAAGTTTAGCTAAGCAGTTATTTGGTATGATATAAATACCAAAAGTGCATAGATAGAATGCCTACCTGTATCCAGGGATTGCTATGAAACTCCCAAGGAGGTGATCCCCAGAAGAGACCCTTTCCCACTGGTAATAAACTCTTAAATGGGTCTAGGAGAGGTGGAGCCAGGCTTTACCCCTTCTGGCAGCACAGGTGAATCGCCTTCACCGGTGTTCCCGTGGCAGGTGTGGCATACACACACACCTTGTCATTTTTCAGAAACCTAGTTAATAGTCACATATTATCTTAGAATGAATACACACGTATCTCACAGGGAAATACTGTCATATCAAATGGATGTGTCAGCATTTTGAATGCTTCTTCACCACAGCATGGTATTCCTCCTTCCTGTACTTTTTTCCTCTAAATATTTTTATAATTAAATATTCATTTACCTTTCCATGTTCTTTCCTCACGTGGGAGATGTAAACATCTCTCTGAGTGAACAGCCTATCACAATCCCAACACGTCCAGCCACGATTTGCAACTTTTTTAGGTTCTCCTTTCTTTATAGGAGATTTCTTCTCTAACTTTTCTGTTCCGTTGACAGATCTCGTGTCCTCTCTGTTGTGAATGGCTGAGTTCTGATTTGTGGATTTCATACTCAGAGGCAAATTTATTCCCAGGTTTGGTGGCCCTTCAACACTTTTCAAAGTTCCATGCATAGACTATAATAAAATAAATTTTAAAAGGAAAACAATTAACATAGGTGTATATGATTGTACTGACAAAATGCTGAATACCCTCTGAATCATAAGTGTTCATCTATTTCTTTGTCATCCTGTTACAGATCACATTCATAGAATCATAGAATGGTTTGGGTTGGAAGGGACCTTTAAGATCATCTAGTTCCAACCTTCCTGCTATAGGCAGGGACACCTCCCACTAGATCAGGTTGCTCAAAGCCCCATCCAGCCGGACCTTGAATACCTCCAGGGTAGGAGCATCCACAACCAACTATTTTTCCAAGACTTCTGATTTTATTTTCAATACATCTTACATCTTCAGTAATTTCTAGGGGTTACAAATACCACAGTTGAGGCTAAAATGATCATTTTAGTAGACAAGAAAGATGTCTAATTTTTCACTACTACAAATTTTACTATTTAAATAGCTTCAACAGTTACCAGGCACCAGATCATGTTAATAACAAATTTCAGCACTGCTAATAGATTCAGTGTGTTCAAAACAAGATAACAGTGTAACAGTGTATTTAAAATGTACAGCTAACAACTTAAAGCCAGGGGGCTGCTGATTCTTAGTAATGTGATTTGAAGGACAACAGTAAATCTTCTCCAGTAAATTCCTTCATGCAGTTATAGGGATATTGATGAGAAAATCCACTTCAAGTTTCCTTTTTTTTCCTTAAAACGGCATGTGTTCACATGTACATGTGAGTGTGTGCACATGCATGCACCCACACATACTTTCTACATCTATTCAAGAAACTGGTTCCCACCAGCACGTTCTGAACATCAAAAACTTGATTTTGTCATGTACTCAGTGTTCTCAGCTCCTAACAATTGGAATAATACTTCAAATAGAAATAATATAAGGCTCAATAGTTGCTAGGATTCGACCAACTTACTTCAATAACCCCACTATTATTTTGATAAAATGACATACTGAATGCAATGCACTGAGATATTCTTAGTATATCAAAATCAATGTCCATATAGAAAAATTAAGTGGTTACACCACAGTTGCTGAAAATTATGCAAAATATAAGGCTTTAACACTTGCGATCATTATTCAGATTACTCTTTTGGAATTATTAACATTTCTTTCAGCAGCCTCCTTGTAATTCTGAGCCTTTTAAAAGTATTTTCTCAAATAATATATTGCATAACAAATAGCATCTTAGAATAAAACAAGAGATGCCCACACACCTTGATATGATCCATCATAAGCTGCTTCTGTGCATACAAAAGAGAACAGTCTGGACACTTGAAAACAGACACCTTCTGGTTTTCAATGTGCTGATCAAAGTGGCGATAGAGCAGAGGTTGTAGAGTAAACACAGTATCACACATAGAGCATTTATATATTATTCTAAAAAAAGAAGTACAATAAACAGTGTCAGTCATGTTGATCTACCTGCATGAATCATGTTAACTTTTTTCTTAGCAGAGACAAGATCTGACACATTTAGGCAATCATTTCACATATCCTGAAAAAGGGTAAAACGCAACTAATTCAAAACATCCTCCAAAGTCAAAATAAAGCAGCAGTAGAAAAATAGAAAATAAAAATAATGGCCATCTGTAGTGGTACTTCTGAGAAACTGCAGATAAAACAAAGGAAAGACAGGTACAGGAACTGAGTGCAAGGATGGCCACAGCCTTCCCAACCCCACCAACCTGACACTGATCTCTGTCCTAGAGAATGACTTTCCATTAAAAAAACATCAACCCCAAACCTTGCTTGTTAGCACACTACATTTTCTCATTACCTGCATAAATTACCCAAAGTCCTTCCTATTTCCCTCCAGGAAGTTTTCACCAACAGCACATTTTCCAAAGGAACTCTAAAGACCACTCTGCACCATGCTCTAAGACGACAAAAACAAGGACTTCAAAGTCCAAGCCATTCAGTGAGTCCAGATATTTGAAATAATGAAAAACACTAAGTTATTCACATGACCTGTGAAAAAATTATTTCTGTGCTCTATCAAGTGATCTCTTTCTTGTGGCCATGTTTTTCTTTTGTTGCTTCTCATGTATGCTAAGATATCTGTTATTTGCATTGCATCCCCTTAGGACCTATACTCATTGTTTTCTGCAGTGACCCTTCGCGGTGGTTGCCTGCTCTGCGCAGCACAGAGCAGCGCTGCCAGCTGCACCCAGTAAGCACCAGGGCTCAGAAATGAGAGCCCCGCTCCTCACTGCCATGCACAAATGCTTCTCAAACATCATTCAGAACTTGTATTCTAGTTTGCCACATTACTGCTGATGTCTACTCCTCAGAATCCTGACTGCTTGGATAATTCCTGTAAGATAGGTGTTAAAGAGCTTGCCAGAAATAAGGAATACTTCTTGATGTTAAGTGGTGGGGGAAAAACAAAAATTTCTAAAATGCTGTTTCACCTCTCACCCATATAAATTCCACATATCCTACTAACTGTTTTAACTGAGATTGTAAGAGACCACTCCTGGGAAGTGAGTTGATGGATCACTGCCCATGCAGATCAGCTGATGTGTATGCAGAAGAACTCTGTCCAGGCACAGTGCTATTACAGCTACAGTGCTCTGCGGGATGCACTGCTGAAGCTCTAAAGAAGAGACAAAGGATTCACACAGCTGCTGAGCATCCAAGCACACTCCTCCAGCACCTTGCTCCTATCCCAGCACAGCAGCTCAAGGTAACCTGAGGTAGTGCTTTTACTGCCAGCTGGTAAGTACTGCAGTTCTGTAGGGAATCTGCTGGTGAACACAGAGCCAGTACCAACTGCACACATTCCCTAACTCTGGGGTACCAAATACTTTTCATTTATACCTTAAGACCTGTCTCTTATAATGCTCTCTGCATCTCCAACTTTGTCCAAAAGTGAGGAAACATCAGAGCTGACTGCTCACCAACCTGCAAACACCAGAGGACCCTCAAGCTGCTGCTGCACAGCCTTCTAATGATCGCTGCCTTGAGCCATGCAGCACTCACTGATACAGCTGCTCCTAACAGGAGAATATCAGTCTGCTATAAACAGTCTGACATATCTCTCAACTTATTTATATACATGTAAAAATTTTCACTCTCTAAAAACATTTGGAGCTGAATATTTGTATTTTCTATGTAAGCCAAAAGACATTAATCTGTTCACAAAAGCACAAAAACTATCCAAATATCAGACTTAGGTCTCTGAGAAAATAATGTATTAAATAAAATTAACATAAAATTATCGATTAGCATTTGTTGTAATTCTAACCACAAAGTATTTCTTCCAGTCACATTTAAAAGTACTATTTTCAATCCTACACACATACACCTGAGGGCTGGCTTGCTTTATAGCTGAAGTAACTGATATTTAACATACAGAAGCTTAAAACCCTGTCCTGATTGTAAAGGCAGTTACAGTTTGTCAGGACCTAACACTTGCAAAGCCCCGAGACAAGCAGTGCCCTGCCCCACGCTGCCAGGATGGCTGCACATGACTACTTCTGCTCCCTGTGCTCACAGTGCAGGCATGGCACAAACACACCTTGTCATTTTTCAGAAACCTGGTTAATAGTCACATATTATCTTAGAATGAATACACACGTATCTCACAGGGAAATACTGTCATATCAAATGGATGTGTCAGCATTTTGAATGCTTCTTCACCACAGCATGGTATTCCTCTTTCCTGTACTTTTTTCCTCTAAAATCCTGTACATGTGGGATAATGTACTTTATACCAGGAATACGGTATATAACCATAAACTGGCTTCATAAGCAAGAATTCTTCCAATATTCAAAAAGAGATCAGTCATGGAAAATGCTTTAATGATGCTCACAGTCTACTGAAAAAAAAAATCATATAAGCTGTGGTTGCACATAAAAACATCTCAGGTTTGCTACAGGAGAGAGCTGACAGTTGAAAGTTGAAAGCCATCCATTCTTCTACATTAAAATTATCTCATTTCAACCATTTGAGAATCACCGCATACAGATTTTTTTTTTAAATATGGCATATTCATCAAATGTGGACGTATTTTTTCTAATAAAACACACAACACTACAGCAGATAAAAGAGAATTTGTGCTATGAACACTTCATGTCATTCGGCCAAGATATATGAGAAATATCCTCAGGAACCAATTAATTAAAACAAGAAAATAATTTCTCTAGCCTCAAACACCTTCAGGGATGGGGCATCCACAACCTCTCTGGGCAACCTGTTCCAGCACCTCACCACTCTCTCAGTAAAAAACTTCCCCCTGACACCTAATCTAAATCTCCCTTCCTTTAGTTTAAAACCATTCTCCCTTGTCCTACCACTATCTACCCATGTAAAAAGTTAATCTCCCTCATCTTTATAATGAATTCCCTTTAAATATCAGAAGGCCACAATGAGGTCTCCCCACAGCCTTCTCTTTTCCAGGCCCAGCAAGCCCAGTTCCTTCAACCCATCTTCATAGGAGAAGTGCTCCAGCCCTCTGATAATCTTTGTGGCCCTACTCTGGACCCTCTCCAAATGCTCCACATCTTTCCTGTGTTGGGGGCCCCAGAACTGGACACAGTACTCCAGCTGGGGCCCCACAAGGGCAGAATGGAGAGGGACAAACACCTCCCTTGCCCTGCTGGCCACCCCGCTTCTGATGGAACCTAGGATACATTGGCCTTCTGGGCTGCAAGCGCACACTACTGGCTCATGTTAAGTTTTTCATCAACCGGGACACCTAATTCCTTCTCAGCAGGGGTACTCTCACGGGGCATGATTGATCATGGGGCAGTTTACTCAGCCCCTGGCCAGTTGTCTGTCCATGGAACCCACTTATCTCAAAGGGGGCAACAAATCCGAGAGCAGGAGCTAGCAGGGCTTATCGAAAGAGCTTTAAACGAGCTACAATGGGGGAAGGGGACAAAACAGGCCTTGCAAGAGATGAGCCTAGGGGAATGATGCTTGAGCTGGGGGTGAGGCAGATGACTCAGCTGAAGTGCGTCTACACCAATGCATGCAGCATGGGCAACTGTCACGCTCCAATTTATAGGAGGGAGCTGAGGTTCTTTTATTATCTGTATACCCGGTGTGGCAACAAGCAGGAGAAGTTGGAAGCGATTGTGCGTCAGGCTAACTATGACCTAATTGCTATTACCGAAACATGGTGGGACCCCTCCCATGACTAGAGTGCTGTGATGGATGGCTACAAGCTCTTCAGAAGGGATAGACGAGGAAGGAAGGGTGGTGGTGTGGCCCTTAATATTAAAGAGTGTTTTGATGTTGAAGAGCTTGGGGTTGCAAATGATGAAGTTGAGTGTCTATGGGTAAGGATCAGGGGGAAGGCCTGTAGGGGCGACATCGTGGTGGGGGTCTGTTATAGACCGCCTAATCAGGATGAAGAGAAGGATGAGGCATTCTATGAGCAGCTTGCGGAAGATGCACGATTGCCAGCACTCATTCTCATGGGAGACTTCAACTTCCCTGATATATGTTGGAAATACAATACAGTGCAGAGGAAGCAGTCCAAGAGGTTTCTAGAGTGTGTGGAAGACAGCTTCCTTATGCAGCTGGTACGAGAGCCTACCAGGGGTGGTGCCCTGCTAGACCTGCTCTTCACTAACAGTGAAGGACTGGTGGGAGATGTGAAGGCTGGGGACTATCTTGGGCAGAGCGACCATGAAATTGTAGAATTCTCTATTCTTGGAGATGTCAGAAGGGTGACTAGCAAAACTGCTATCATGAACTTCAAGAGGGCAGACTTTGACCAGTTCAGGATGCTTGTAGCACGGGTCCCTTGGGAGTCGCTCCTTAAGGGTAAAGGGGTCCAGGAAGCCTGGATTCTCCTCAAGATGGAAATCTTAAAGGCGCAAGAACAGGCTGTCCCTGAGTGCCGTAAGGTGAGCCGTAGGGGAAGAAGACCGGCGTGGATGAACCGGGAACTACTGTTGAGACTCCAGAAGAAAAGGAGAGTCTATGTCCTCTGGAAGAAGAGACAGGCTACTTGGGGAGATTACAAGAAAGTTGACCACTGAGGACAAGGAGAAGGCTGAGGTCCTCAACGCCTTCTTTACATCTGCCTTTAATAAGCAGATCAGTTATCCTCAGGGCATTTTACGCCCTGATCTGGAAGTCTGGGATGCTATTCAGAATACACCCCCGGTGATTCAGGTGGAGACAGTTAGAGAGCTCCTCCTCCATCTGGACTGTCACAAGTCCATGGGACCAGACGGGCTCCACCCTAGGATGCTGAGGGAGCTGGCAGGGGCGATTGCTGAGCCACTCTCGGCCATCTACCAGCTCTCCTGGTTATCTGGAGAGGTCCCAGAGGATTGGAGACTTGGCAATGTGACTCCCATCTACAAGAAGGGCCGTAAGGAGGATCTGGGGAACTACAGGCCTGTCAGCCTGACCTTGG